CAGACAATTACATGATACGGTAGAATCGGTGCCAATTCTTCGCATGGTAGAGACGCAGACAATCTGCCGAGCTCTGTTTCTCTGACACTCACCTGTAGTTGGTCGGTCCGAGAATATGTGCCGATCGGCGCATTCGGCCGTCGCCGTTCGTATGGCTGAGAACGCGAACAGCCACACCGTCACCTGCCGCATCGGACATCGACCTATTCAGCTTTCGTCACCGTGCGGCATAGAAAGTGATCTATAACAACGATGACGTAATTTTGTCGAAAGCTTAGAAGCGGAAATCGAAAGAAGAAAACCGAAAACGTTTCCGGAAAGCAAGAAATACATAATGACGTGCAATTGTGGCCAATCGGAATGTTTTCTGAAATTAATCAGAATGGTGGTAATTACAACAACAACAGGCATAGCCAAGCGGTTAACAGTGTAGGCCCATGTTTTTAAGAGCCACGGGTTCGATCCCCACTCTGAAAAGTTGCAAACATGGTGACAGTAGCACGGTGTCTATGATGGTAGGCCGGCTGATGGAGACGCATGTGACAAATATCACAGCCCATGCAGAATTTTTTCTATTGCGGTATCGAAATAACCCGTTCCCTAGCTACATGTCGCACCACATTCAGGGAGTCTGAACCCCCTCCCCCGCTCCATCACGTTTTGTTACTCCACTTGGGTAACTGATGTCTGACGTTCCTTTGAGGGCAAAACCACTGAACTGTATATCGTCTTCCCCTGGAACGGCATTGCATTGACCAGCCAGTCATCAAAATAGACCTACAATTCTAAATGAACCTCGAGTGCACGGCGTGTCTTGAAGAGGGATCAATCGATGACGATCGCTCAGCTTAGTAAACCCACAAAACCGTACCAACGTACTTGCTAATCGAATAGACTTTGGTAGTCATCACAAGAATGCTGAGTTATAGGCAAAACTTCGCCCCAGCCGGGATTCGTACCCGGATCTCTTGCTTTCCGGGCAATTGTGCTACCAGTTACACCACCGGGGCACCATTTCACCCCAACTCAGCTTCGATGGTGAAGTTACCATAGTTATCAGCATTACGAACGTAATGTCACGTAACGTAACACGGTTGTCAAAGCTGAGTTGGTGAAATGGTGCCCCGGTGGTGTAACTGGTAGCACAATTGCCCGGAAAGCAAGAGATCCGGGTACGAATCCCGGCTGGGGCGAAAGTTTTGCCCACAACTCAGCATTCTTGTGATAACTTTCGCAACGCGAACTGCGGCGTAAAACAGCAGTTTAATTTAATTCACAAAAATGATTTGAAAAGCGAAGTGCCATTGAATTTGTTTCAGGAAGACCAAAAGCTCATTGGCTTGGGGATGAGGAATAAGCACAGAGCAAACTGATGTGACATGCTGAAACTGCGTCTCTTTCACGACGGTCTTATTCCTCAGAAGCAAATTTGATTTCACAAAAGTATACTATGCCTCAAAAGTGCAACATATCGAAAGGAAGGGTCGAGCTGAACCTATTGTTAGACATTCAAGTGCAGCGCTGCCGCCGCCGCCGCCTTACTAGGCGTATATTTCAAGAAAAAAGCACACACAACCGCTTAACTTCAGAAGCTCGTAATATGGATACTGTAAAGAACTTCGTAGTTTGGATACTGTATTCTTGGACTGATTCCGCCTAAGATAACGTGGTAAGGTTTGCCATGCAGGGTAACGCGCTGTAATCCTACGTACATTTTCAAGACAACCAAGACCGTACTATGTAGATGCC